CGGGCCTAGACCATTTCTGAAGAAGGGTCTAGGCCCGAAACATCAGCCTTCCTGCTCCTCTGATGCTGCTTGGCCTGCTGTGTTCATCCAGCTCTACATCTTGTTATGTCAGGTTCTCATACTGTCTTCAAAAATGTCTTCCATCTCACATCTATGTTCCATTTGGAAAAGTCTTCTATCACAGCAGTACAAGATTCATTTTTTTTTAAATTGCAATCATGATTAAAACAAAATACATTTGGAACACTAGGTCAACACAATAACATAGCCCTGCTGCTAACTGTATTGCCATACTTCTCCAGTGTATGAGCAACTGCTTAAGAATAAGCTGTAGAATGAACATTTTAGCTGTTCACAGGAAGCTCTTAAATATTCCAACTTAACACAGAATTTAACCAATGTAGAACAAATTGCCAAACGCCCGTTATAATAACAAGCCCAGGAATGTTCTTGGCTACTTCTCCCCAAATTCTTCTTAAACCGTTTAGTCTCTCAGGTTCTAGTGTACTGCAAGGCTCACATCGCCATGGCAACACTGCTTCTTTAATTCTGACTTAAGTTCATATTCACAACAGTCTGTTTACCACATAATGCCTGACTCAACTGATAGATTACGTCAAGAGATATCAAAGGTATTATGAAAATGGCTATTTAGTTGTCAAAATATATCTGAAGCTTTAAGTATAAAGCCATATAATTATTTGCATTGAGATTGGAGAATTTGTATCGATAATCTGCAAGGAAGTCAGTGCTTTTAATCTTCGATGAGTCAATGAAGAACATTTTTGTTTAACAAGTTTGTCACTTGACTGGCACTTAGCCGTTGAAGCCATAGAAGCTGTCAAATTGCATGATTCACTCAAAATTATATTCTTCAGACATCTCAAGCATTCCGGCATAAATCACCTGTATTTATGTCATTTGACACAAGAATAATAGCTTTCTAAATGACTAGATTTGAGGGAGCATACCCACTCCACTGGGGTATTACCAATGCGCATTATACTTTATAAGTATATACCATCACAAGAATTCCAGCTCAGCAGGAAAAGGTTAAAATCACATCAACATATTGTCAGCTGAAATGGTTTGTGCTGAATGGTGTTGGGTCTATTTGCAAAACTGCAAATCTGGCTCGATTGTGACCTAGAGCAGTGCAATATGTAAATGTCCCTTCTCAACAAAATATCTTGCAATAGTGCAAATGACAACTGTAGCTCTTGGCAAAAGCCATGGTGTGGAGTGATTTGTTTAACTCCGAAATTGGGAAAGCCAGTCATACTGACTAGATCTCTAGCAATCTAATGGGGAAAAGTACATGCAGGAATTTTAAAGTCAACTAGCAAGATCGCCTCGATTCCACAATTGTTTGGGGAGACAGGCTTGGGCTGAGTTAGTTTCCACATCATTGTTCACGTACTGCTAAATGGGGCTTAATTCAGTCCATGTGAAATACGTCTTTCAAACACATCATTACTGACGCATGATCGCAGCCTAAATACTTTGCATGCAGGATAAATCTCGTCAGTACTTGAACACCTGTAACTTTTACATCACATCCAAGTAATAAAATGTCACTTTAGTTGGTAAACAAGCCATACTAATGGGTTGTAAGTTTTCATGATATGCACACAGACCATATGGCACTAAAGCACAATAAGCATATGAAATTGGAGAAGCATCACAATGATGGTGAATTACCCAGGAAACCATATAAGTTTGGTAACGATTTCAAAGTTCCAATGCACTACATCACAACAGTCCCTCAGATTCAAGTATTTATCCTTTGCAGCCCTTTTGGGAGGTTCCAGTAATGGAAACTCATATAGCCACCAGGAGCTAGATTGGGAAGGAGATGAATATTGAAAGCTCAAGTGTTGGAATGACTGATGGTTAGGAAGAAGTCACTCATTAGTCAGTGTTGGCCCTGGAGAAAGGAAAGACCGGAAACATGAACATCTGAAAATCAAGGTGCTGTGTTATGTCTCACGGTCAGCATGTCTGTGTGCCTTTAAGAGACATTCTCTTGAAATCATCACTGTATTCTAGTATGTGACCAGAGAGAACAAAATGTCTCACACTCCATCTTTCCCCAGGATCTCTTGAAGCATGACATGCTACTGGAGGCATGGTGTTCAACTGTAATCTAATTATCACAGTTGATAAACTACCCTGCTAGAGGCAAAATCACATTACAGGATGGGAACACTCAGTGAAGGAGATTATATTTCACAACGTGGAAAATCAGGGACAACATAGAACTGGCAAAACAAGCATCACCGTGATCTGTACATCAATAATGATACAGCAATATTGCCAAATATGTTGTGACATTGTAATGTTCACACTACATGATTTTACAGCTTCATAGCTTGACATTGCAAAATTACTATTCTGTAAGATTAACCTGGGCTGCCTTTTATGACAGCCATACTGGATTAAACCAATCTGATGAATGTCATCATACTGGCTTATTCAATTTCCCATGTGGGTTTTATAATGATACTGCTGCCTGCAAGCCTCATAATCTGTATCAACTTGCTTAATTAACGTAGATCCTGTGTATAAATCATATGAGCTTAGAACATAGCAGTATGTTTCACTCAGCAATCAAAACGATCTATTGGCACTTAGATATGACACAGAAATTACGGGTGTGGTTTGACTGCTCCAAATTGCCATGCTAACTACATTATTTCAGGCAATTACATTTCCCACTACGAAACATTGTGTACGCACCCAGTTGAAGTTCCCTAACTGAAACAAACAGGCTCCTATTTATATGAAAGCAGGGACAAAAATACCAGAGTTACTTTCAAATTTTGCTCCCCAATCTGGTGACTCTCTTTGTAAAAAGGTAATGTGGAAAACTGCAGTAAAAATCACAGCCATGAATATAAACTCAAGAGGACAGGTCAATGAAACACATAGCTAATAAACATCCCAGAGGGTAAAACCAGCAAACACTCAGTAATATTTGGAATAAAACAAAAGGAGAAACTCAGCAGGTCCAGTACAGAAGCTTAGTGGTTAGCACTGCTGCCTCACAGCGCCAGGGACGGGGGTTTGACTCTACCCTCGGGCGACTGTCTACATGGGGCTTGCACGTTCTCCCCGTGTTTGTGTGGGTTTCCTCCGGGTGCTCTGGTTTCCTCCTACAGTCCAAAGATGTGCAGGTTAGGTGGATTGGTTAAATTGCCCGTAATGTTCAGGGGTGTAGGTGGGTTAGCAATGGGAAATGCAGGGATAGGGTGAGATGCACTGCAGAGGGTCATTGTTGGGCCAAATGGCCTGTTTCCACACTTTCGGGATTTTACGGAAGTTTCCATTGAGAGATCAACAAAGTTAAGGCTTCGAGTCCGATGTAACTCTTCTTTGGAATTGAACAGTAACACTTGAATACGAACACCCTGGAGCTCCATTTTGAGATAGACAAGATGAGTTAGACCAGGAGACATCATTCACAAGGCCCATCCTGGGCCTCCTCCAGTGTCACAATAATGCTACCTGCAAACTGGAGGAGCAACACCTCATATTTCACCTTGGAAGCCTACAGCCTGATGGCCTAACACGGAATTCACCAGTTTTAAAATCTCCCCGGCCTCATCCCATGTCTAACCCTCCTTCTCATCCCCGCCTCCTTGACCTGACACAACCTGTCCATCTTCTCTCCCACCTATCCGCCCCTCCCACCTCACTGACCAATCCCTACCACTGCCTACCTGCACTCACCTATCACCATCCCACCTACCTGCCCCAACGCCACCCCTCCTCTCTCTATTTATTTCTGAGATCCCTTTCCCCTCCCCATTTCTGAAGAAGGGTCCCTACCTGAAACGTCAACTTTCCTGCTACTCTGATGCTGCCTGGCCTGCTGTGTTCCTCCAGCTCCACACTGTAAGGGCATATGCAGTTCTTGCTACCTCATTCACAATTTTTACTGGTTTTAACTTTGTGAGGTTAAAAACATTGGGTATCAATTCTAGTAATCTGTCAGATTTTCTTTGAATCTGTTGTGGAGATCTGGTACCTTGTAATCCATCTGTTCAGAGCAGTTGAATACATAGACCATGATTCCCAGTGCTCGGCCCAAGTCCTTCGTAGTTTCAGTCTTCCCTGTTCCTGCGGGCCCAGCTGGAGCTCCACTCATTGTCAGGTGCAGCGACTGGGTCAAGGTGATGTAACATCTGAAGATAGACAGTGAAATAAGAACACACACAAACAGTGAGAATGGGGGAAACCACAGCAGAGCAGATAGATCATAGTCAGTGTCAAAATGAAGGCTTTCAACAAGTTTAAAATGGAGAAAAATTGACAAAAGGCCTAATTAAAAGAGTCCCTTTGTGCAAAGAGTGGACTTGCAGATAGGATAGTGAGGTAAAAGCTTTCAGATTCATTCAAAATAAAGTCAGGTATGAGTCAGCAGCTGCAATGGCGGTTCAATGGTTAGCACTGCTGTCTCACAGTACCAGGCACCTGGGTTCAATTCCAGCCTCAGGCAACTGTCAGTGTGGAGTTTACATATTCTCCCCATGTCTGCATGGGACTCCTCCTGCAGTCCAAAGATGTGCAGGTCAGGTGGATTGGCCGTGCTAAATCATCTGTAGTATCTGGGGGTGTGCAGGCTAGGCAGATGGTAAATGCAGGGTTATGGGGTCAGGGGTAGGGCGTAGGGTCTAGGTAGGTCGGTCTTGATGGGCTGAATGGCCTCTTTTGAACTGTAGGGATTCTATAGGCTTGTTTTGCAAGGGACAAGCTGATTGGACCAAATGGCTCAATTCATCTCCATTTATCCTGTGTTTGATATTGCAGATCATTGTTCTCTAAGAAAAGCAAACAGCTTGGGAGGAATAGAAAAGAATTAAAAACTCTACTCTTAAATCCCCTTCAATATGTAACACATACACTTCTGTTACAACCACTCATCATTCAGCTAGCCCATCACCATTTAGAGTTCAGTAATGGTGGAAAACTCTGGTAGCTAGATTTCACCAGACATTCACAGTACGTATCTGGTTAAGTCCTTGAAGTGTCGCTTTTTATTTGTTGACACAATCTGGATGTCACTAGCTAGGTCCCCATTTATTGCTCATCCCTAATTCCTTGTGAGGTGGTGGTGGTAAGGACTGCCTTAGGATCTGACTATTATGATGTGAAAATAAAACACAGAAGACCTATGTTTTGAATACATATCTCATTTAACAGTTTTATTGTTTTTCTTTATGGGCACACTTACTTGGTGCCTGGCAATGAGGAATTTAGAAGGCTACTTATGGCCTGTTAAATGAGCACTATAATGCACAGTCCAAATTCACAGTGACTGTTTTGCCAAGAAAATGGTGAAAACTTGTGGCAATTCATACACGTGCAGCTGTTTAATGAAGTCAATTCATTATCTATCATTAAATCAGGTTCAATTTCTCATTTCAAATGTGACAATTAAAGGACAACACTCAGATCCTAATTCTGCTTTTGCTTCGGTTGTGTTGAGATCATAGACTAGCATCTATATTCTGCCAATATATCGTTAAGAAAATGATAATGATTCGACAATCTGTTTTTAAAATTCTGATTGAGCGATAGAATTTGCTCAGGGTACCTGAGATAACTCCCTGCTCTTCCACCACATAATGTCACGAGATCTTTTCTCTTAACAGACAGATGAAGTCATGATTTAATATCTCATCCAAAAGACAACACCTCCAACAGTGCATTGCTCCCTAGGTACCACACTGGAGCATTAACCTTGATTACATGCTCGAGTTCTGAACTGGGATTTGATCCCAGACCATATGGTTCAAGGACAAAAGTGCTGCCAACTGAATCACGGTTGACAGCTTAGCAGGCATGAAATCCTAACTCATTCCCTTCTTCCCCTGGAAAGCTCTCACACCATTTCTCATAATTTCATATGAAATGCTGCAGAGATGCCACCTCACAAGAGCCATCTTTCCAATAGTACTGGACACAGTGCCCACTCTGTGGCCCTGAACCATCAGCCATGCTAAAACAACACCAAACACACAGGACGGGCCAAAAACAAAAGCGGCCGACATCAAACATTGCACATGCTTTGCCCCAATAAAACTTGCCATTGAATTCTGGAAATCGATTCAGATTTCCATTTCACATTAGCTGCAGATAATCATCACTCTGGTTATAGCCAAGCCAAGTAATATGAAGTTGCTAAGATATCAGCTTTCACACGAGATATGCTTCGAGATATGCAGTGCAACATAGCAAGGAAATAAATCATAACTCTCAATAATTTATTTCCTTCATGTAAATGAGTTTCTCAGCACCCCTGGCATCACTTTATTGAGTTACAGATGATATAATCTTATTGAACTGTATAGGTGATACTAACAAGTTGACACTAAATTAATGCATTGTCAGTATGATAAATAAATGTGGGTATTAGGCAAGAAATTCAGAGCCAGCACACATTAGAACACTCTAAGGAGCTTGTTCACATTGTTAGATATACAAGGAGATGTCCAAGAAGAAATTAAATAACCAACATAATTATGATCACAATCAATCTCTGCCAAAAAGCAAAACATAACAGCTGAGAAACAGTTGTGCAGAGACACATTTCTGCAGTTTTCCACTGTAACAGATGCATTGCGTAGGGAACAGCAGGAATGAAGTACAGGATCACAAATGGATCTCCTGGCATTCCATCAAGCGTGATCCAGAAAGAAACCTTGCAAGAGGCAGTTTGCCTTGCACTTAAGATGAAAAGATTATAGAATATCACCTTCCAATAGCACCAGTCTCGCTCAATTTCCAAACTGCCTTCCAGCGGAGGAAGAAACTTCCAAAATATCCCAGGTTGAACCCAAGAATTACCCTCTGCTCCAGAAATGACTTTTTAAAAACATATTCAAGAGTAACATCAGGCACTCAGGCTCGAGGCACTCTCGGTCTCGGGAATAGGGACTCACATAAACTAGAGCAGCAAACTGCAGATGTCTGATGCAGGTTCCCGGGCAGCTCGGCAGTGAATCAGATTCAAAATTAGGCTGCATCAACAATAACAATCCTCAGGCAGGTCCTGTAGGGGGCTAATCGATAGGTGTTGGTGGAGGTTAGCGGTTGGGCAGTGATTGACATGGGGACAAAGTTGATTTAAGGCAGTCACAATCAGGAGTGGGAAGGAAATCAATGGAGGGTCAAGCAATGGATTGACACAATCTTTGGGACAGTTATGGAGCTGGGAGAAACAGTTAATCACTTTGTGACTGTTTATTCAAATAAATACTTTTCATTAAAATGATCTCTTCTGGTAGTCTGTTATCCTGAATGTGGCAGGCTTGCATTAGCCCAATTTCTGGAAGGTGTGTGAAATAGTTCATCAGGTTAGTGACTTAACTGATCCAAGTGTTTGGTTATTGTATAGAATTTAATTGATTATTTTAGTCTGCTGATTGATCCAAGATCACTGTGCTCGACTGATTTTGCTTGGGGAGAGCCTCCAAGAGCTGAAGTAAACAGATGCCACCAGAAAGACTCAAGAAGCCTTGCCTGTGATGTGTGTGGACACTTCTTGTAGTTAAAGACACAGAATCATATAATCCCTACAGTGTGGAAGCAGGCCATTCAGCCCATCAAGTCCACACCAACCCTCCAAATAATATCCCACTCCCTCTACCCTAACCCCATAACCCTGCGTTTCCCATGGCTAGAGTTAGAATTAGAATCAGAATGAGATTTATTGTCACATGTACTCAAATGAGTACAGTGAAGTCGCCACTTGTGGCACCATCTTAATTACAAAAGTCCCTAGGTACAGTTTTTCCACTTACAGTTCATGGAAAAGTAGGGGTGAAAAAAACCCTACCTAACCAGCAAACTATAAGCAATTTAGTGCAGCCAATCCACCTGACTGCACATTTTGGACTCTGGGAGGAAACCCACAGACACAGAAAGTGCAAATTCCACACAGTCGCCCAAGGGTGGAATCGAACCTGGGTCCCTGGTGCTGTGAGGCAGCAGTGCTAGTCACTGAACCACTGTGCCACCCAGCCACCATATATTAAAGCACTGTCAAAAAGCATGTCATATTTAGGTTTCAATTAGCATCATCTCTGCCCTGTCCTCATGTAAATTGGTTAAACAAAATATGCTATAAACCAGCAAATACACATGCACATGAATCCTACGCACATACACAAATAATCTAAGATAACAAGGTGTAGGAGCTGGATGACCACAGCAGGCCAAGAAGCATCAGAGGAGCAGGAAAGCTGACATTTTGGGCCTAGACCCAAATAATCTGACACCAGTTTCAGAAAAGGATGCAGGACACTTGTACTTCAGCTTTTATTGATATGATAGCTAGAGAATATCAAGCACAGAACATGCACACACAAAACATTAGATTTGGGATCAACAATTTCTTGGTTTCCAAGTCTGTTCAGTATCCAAAGAAATAAAACAATCGTGACTTGACACACTAAACTGTAAGCCTTTAATCACATACCTGTCTGTCAGTGGTGTAATTACCAATCGAGGCGTGTTACCCAAATATTCATAGGAATACAAAAACTGGGCATCGCAAATGTTGGCAAAGCAATGTTTTGTTTCATCGTCCCAGCGATGGCGAAGCTGGGAAAGCCAGACAAAGGCCTGAGAGTTTTCAACCTATGAGAAGAAATGTAAACCATTAATAGACTCAACAAAGAGTATACTGCACTCACAACACAAGTACACTTCCATTCTGAGCGGAATCTTTTTCTAGCCTCGTAAAACAAAAAGATACAAAAATAAACTTTCATGGTAGAAAGGGAAAGGCCTTGAGGCATTTTCACTGGTTCAAACCAGTCAATTCCAGATCAATAGGTACGCTCAACCAAGTTACAAGAAACAAAAAGGAATGGAAATGGTATGTTCAACCTTCATAGCAAAGGCTAAAAAGATCTCACTGTGATTATATCGGGCCTTAGTGAAATATTACTGTGTAATTTTCATCTCATTCAAGGAAGAATATATGTTTGCCTTAGTGCAACAAAGGTTCAACTGGACTGATTCTGGGATGGGAGGGGATTATCCTTTTTAAAGGTATGGCTATCATCTGGATTGTGTGAACTGGACAGATTCACTGTTACCAATCTTTCTTACTGATATTAGTCCAAGCTACAGATACCATGTAGGGAAGCATACCTACAATACTTCTTCGACATAAGATAAGCCCAATTTTCCTAAGTAAATAGACTTATTACAAATTAACTAAAATTACATTACATCTGAAATGAATGATGTTCTCTTGTCAAACATTACGTTCAACTTAAAAATACATAGTCCCACTTCAGCTCTCTGCTATTAACACCCAGAATAATCACCAGTGTATCAGTGAAGAACACATGGACAAAAGCCTTAGCTCCTCTCAGGAGCATTCCTTCGCATCCTGATGGGCAGAGCTCATCTTGTGACGTAAGTCAACCTAATCACATCCTAAATGTTTTCTACAACTCTCCTGTGGGGACAGATAGTACAAACTAGAACTATGTAGACTGAGGGACAGAACAAAGGAGGTTCTCTCATTTGATAGAATAACATTTTTTTTCCAAAGGGGCTTTAACAGAGTAGGTGTTAAGTGGATTATTCCTCTGCCTGGTGAATTTGGAACTAAGACTCACTGTCTCAGAACACAGGGTAAACCATTTGGACTAAGATGGGTAGGAAATTCTTTCCTCTAAGGGTTTTGACTCTTTGGAATTCTCTCGAATTCTAGAGAGCTGAGGATGATTAGTTATTGGACATATTCAATCAAAGATGGTTAAATGTTTGCATATCAAAGGAATTGAGGATGCGGGTTGGTAGTGGAAGATGATGAAGTTGAGGTGGAAATTAGCAACGATTTTACTGAGTCAATTCAGAGAGCTGAATAGCTACCCCAGCTCATTGGAAGTCACGTGTTGGCTCGACCAGGATAGTCGATTTTCCTTTCTGGACAAGTGTTTTGATAGCAATTGACAGTGGTTACATCGTCATCATTGAGTTAGCTTATTACTCCAGTTTGTCTTTTTATTGAATTCAAATTTCACTGTCTGTCATGGTGGGATTTGAAACCATGTCCTCAAAACATTAACCTGGGATTTTGGATTTAGTCCAGTGACATTACCACTTTATCACTGCAACTTATCATCTCAAACTGTGCTTTCTCTCAAGTTGTGATATCATCCAATGTTAGGGAGGATAAAATGTTAGGGATTGCTGTGTAAATACAGCTCTTATCATAACTGGGACCCATCTGCAGGTTGTCCAATCAGTGTTTGGAAAATGGCCACTTGCTGCCCTCTTGAACAATGAGGTATCAGGTCAAGCAGTCAAAAAGGAACATGAATAAAATTACATAGCTTTTATTTTTGAAGTTATGTTTGGATCCATTCCAGGAAAATGTGAAGTAATGAACTTAATCAAACTCAAACCATAGCAACCATACTGTAGCAGTATTTCCTGCTACAAACACCCTCCTGCAAGCTCACTGCAGGGAACATTGACCATGAGCGATTAAACAAGCAATATTTAATTGTGGCGATCCTCTCACTTTAAAGAGTTATTTTGTTCTGGGTTTTTTTGAAGAGAGTTTGTAAAGGCAGAAGCTCCGAACTGGCACTGAAGGCAGCTTAAGTAAACAATGTGAGAGACGTTTAGGTTTTTATTTAAGAAGTTGGAACAATGGGAGCAGCCCGAATGGGTGTGACCAGCTCTCTCAGACCAGGCTTCCTAGTTCTTTTTTAGCTTTGGCAGTCATAAGTTGTTTGGGGGCTCAGAAGAGTTGGAGCTTCAGTGAATGATTCCTTGCTGCTACTTTCTTTGAAATCTCTCGATGTTGTTTCCTCCTGGATTGGAGAACTGCATGTAAGAATCTGTGTCTGAATTTGGCTTTTTGCCAAGGGGTGTGTTTGTGCGATGTTACTGTTATTGGAACAGTTAATTAGTAATAGGTACTTTATCTGTTGTTTGATTAAGTTTTCTGATAGTATAGTTATTCTAAATTCCTCTTTTGTTTGTATTTTAACTATAGTGTTTAAATAAATTGTGTTTTGCTTAACAACGAGTAATTTGACCAGTTGCATCATACCTAGAACACACACTTCACATCTACCTATAAAATAAGAAAAAGGTGGGTCTGGGCTACCTTCTTAAAATATTTCGAGGGGGTCTGGTCTGCCCCATAACACAATAGACTCACCATTAACATCAACCATCAGTTTTGCATTAGGAAGATGGTTTAGCAGCTGGATATTGATACTCTTATTATTAATCAACTCCCGTAAATCTAGAATATAGACTGGCACGGTCATATACATTGACTTTCCAGCACCAGTGGCGGGGTTCCTTCATGAAGAAACTGTCCATAATTATAGGAGAAGAGAGAACAATAATATAGAGTGCTCTATACGAAAGACCAACCTTCTGAGCTATAATCTTAGCGACGACATCACGAGCATGGACATCAATGGTGCAGATGGTCATGATCTTCTGTCGGTCGCCCTTTGAGAGTTGGCCAATTAGCATAGTAATGAGCGTGTTCAGCTGGTTCACCTGTTTTTTGTAGTAGTCCTTCATGGCATTTTCGTACCCTTCCTCCAGTCTGGCAAAGGAAATGCCAACTTCTGTAGTCCACCAAATTTGGGTGCAACTAAGTGCTACCTGTTTCATCAAAGATGGACAAGTTTAGGTGAACCACTCTGGCGATGTTAATATGAGTTTTACGGCTGGATTTACATTCTCTAGGCAGGCAGCAGAAATGTGTACAGTGGGCAAGTGGGCATTTAAGTGCCAAAATCCTTCACGGACAGTGTGTGGGGCAACGGGAGGGCACGGCTTGGAATGGAGATTTTTGGGTAAGATTTTTTGAACTTGCCTTTCAAAACGTTCTCTTATTCAGGCTGTGGTTCACAGCACATCTGAGACACTATGAACGGAGTCGTTTAAAAGTTGGCCTGAGACCATGACAATCACAGAGGACTGGGCGAAGCCTCTCCTTGCAATAGAGCCAGTTAGATCAAGAGCGCAGGGGGTAGGATAATGTATCAATGTGCACCCTTAAACAGCACTTGCAAAAATCAGAAACTCCCAGGAATGGGTCTCAGCTGTCAGTGTCACACCTCCATGTAATCTTGCTAACTCTATGAAAATCCAGCCTTTAATCTTTGTATGTCATTGAATGTAGATTTATCTCAAGCGATTTTCCATTTAAATCAAAGCAATTAGTTGAATAAATGTTTAATTAGCTTTACGAGGGAACCAAAGGCGGGCTTGCTGGAACTCAGACAAACGTTTGAGAATAAAAAAAAGTAAACATCTGTCAAAAATGTTACCAAACTAAGGTAAAGCAAATCATGTCTTTTGTTTATATTCTTTCACAGGATATGGGTATTGCTGGCTGGATCAGGAGATATTGCCATCCCTAATCGTGAGAATTTCTTGAACCGTTGCAGCCCATGGGCTATGGAAATAGCCAAAGTGCCATCAGAAAGAATTTCTTCATCCATTAGACACCACGATTTATATTTTAATTCTACTTGCTCTGTTCCTTGGGCAGAGTGTAAAATTAAATAGTAAAAATCACATATTTACAATAGAAACCACCTGATTTCCATCAATGTAATTTTACTGGAGAGATAACCTGTCAGACTCTGTCCATTGGCATGTGATTCTGTTCACCTGATTATCTTCTCTTTATTCCCTGGACACTGTTTCAGTGAAGAGCAAAACTATCCCATATATTAATCAATCATTGTTCCAAAGCTGAATGAAAATATGCATTTCAATTAAAATACCAATCTGCAGGTCAATTTGTATCAGTTACAGCAATCAGACCAATGACTTGCTCATTCCGGCTTACCTGAGCTGGATAATCAAAAAGCCATTGATCTCTTGGTTTCTCCTCATAGGCCACCACACCTTCAGTCATTTCATACCTCACTGTCTCTCGCATGGAATCAAGCACCCGATTCAACCAGATCTCAACCTAGGAGGGGAAGTGAGGTCAGTGTCCCCATTACGACACAAGTATGTATTTTACAAGTTTCTGTAAACTGACAGGTAAACAACGTAAAACGTAACATTTCAAAGGCAAGGGAAACAGCTGGCAAAACCCAGAAAAGAACAAAAGCAGAAATTTGTTAAGGTGAACTGTTCCCCAAGTTAGGTGTGCCGAGTCCCAACAGCTTTCTGGCTCATTCACGACCAGTTGACTGAATAAGTCACACTTTCCTACTACTACTCATGGGCACAGCATCCAACTAACTTGAGTCACGCTTTGTACAACTTGGCTTCAAGCCTCAACTTAAGCTTATCGAGGTTCCAAAACAAAATATATTCTTTCATGAGATGTAGGCATTGTTGGAATGCCAATATTTGCTGCCCCTCCCTAATTGCCTCATAACTGTTCCCTGAAATGGCCTTGAATGCCATTTAGTATCTGGCATATTTCTTGTGCCTCAATTCAAAGGGAGAGGAGACAAATGGAGGAAAGAGATGGTGCGATTCTTCAGATTTAGAAACTGTCGCTGTTACAATACTCAACACAATCCCAGTTTTGCAGAAGTGGAACATGTGATATGATTTGTTCCAAAGAACATACCTGCTTTCCAATTGACTGGAATTCATGCCACCAAGATTAAAAGAATTTCAATTCCTATTTAAAGACTTGAAGCATTTGAATACCTGCACCAGGTTTTCCTACCTGCCCACTGCAGTCGCATGGCTCTTTAAAGTTCACATACTCGTCTTCCTTGCTGTACATCCCTAAGGCCACTTTGGTTGGCTTATCGTCTGCCTCAGTTTGGAATTTCATACTCGCCATGTTGTCAAATAATTTGGACAGGTGACGCTGAACCTACAGATTTAATGTTTCATGACCACACGTGAAACACAGCATTGACCCGTTTCTTAAGCAGATGAGATGAAACTCATCCTGAACTTGACAAATCTGTGTTTGCTTCACATATACAATTTTGAATTTCCTTATAGCTGCTGCATGTTGGAGTCCCATTTCTGTAGAGAAATGTCACATTTCAACTATTACTTTCCTTTACAACTGAGAGTTTTCTCTCACTGATACTTCTGATGTGTCCAAGTATTCATGATAAAAGCAGAGATTAGGTCAAGCCAGTCTACTGATCAGGTTTCACTCACCCTTCCAGATAAGAATATGCTTTGGAGAAAGTTTTCTCTGAGAAATAACATCAAATTAATGACAATACAGATCTTAAAATCAAAAACACATTCCCACATTAAGAGGAACAAGTTACTGCACTCTTAAAGGGCACACAAATTTGTTCATCATCCAATCGAGAATATTGGAAGCTGAAACTATATCTTTTCAACATCACAACATAAACTTCAGTGGAGACTATGGATTTTTGCAGATACCCAGAGATTATGAAGATGTGACCGAGAAACATGGTCTCACTATTCAATGAGAAAGTGCAACGATGCTTCCTAGCAGCTAGGCTCCATTCTATGTTGTGCAGTGTTAGCTGGTTGCACACTGCGTTCAGATAGGACCGTAGACATTGGATTTAATTTGTGCCAGTTTAATTCATGTGTAACAAACTATAAGTTGTGAAGTGATGGGTTAACTGTACCTTTTCTCCAATAATGACTGAACATGTGCATTTGAGCACGTCACATTAATGTCAGATCATATGGAGCTGGGACTAGAATCTATACGGTTGCAGAGATATTGACTCTTACCATTCACTGACTGTAGTTCACACTTCATAAATTTTGGTGATGGTTGCTGGCATGGAGGGGGTCTACCTTCTACGAACAACATGATCATACTATGCATCCCAACCAGAATAAGAAAGTGCACATACTTGGAGAATTTCACAACCTCTGTTCAAACTATTGCAGATCACAAAGCTGGTGGCTAAGAGGAAAATTAAGAAATGAAAGAATTTCCGTTGAAGGTGTTAAACTTGTATTTATTTTAGAATGCCAGTCAGGAATAGTAGCTCTGTTGCTGAAACATACATGAATAATGATGCAGGAAGACCCCATTAAGAAATGGGTCATTTCTTGGGCCATTGTCACATCATCTGATGTTCCAAACGACATCAATTCACCTCCATGAATCTTTTAAGCAGAATATACATAGATTCTTTATTCCAGAAGGACAATACCAAGACTCTACATTGAAATTACCGTACAGGAAAACAATTATCAGCCAACCAGATGCCATTGTGGCTTTTGCCTATAAATACCATTAAGTAGTGACAGACAACGAAAACTTCTACAAACTGGTCTCATTTGAATCTCAGTAGAGAAGTGTCTGCACTGTCCAGTGTTGACTTTCCAAATGTTAATGAAAACACCACTTGACTATTGCAACTGGACCCCAATGTTGAAAAATAGCCTGATAACATAAAATAGACTCACTCAGATTGAAATGCGGATTCAGTATCTGTAATAACAAGGTGAAAACTTAAGCAATAACAGATAAGCACCATACTTGGTAATCATACCAATGATACTAAGCATACAGAACCTTTATTCAGTTCTGCATTCTGGATAATAAGAGAAATCAATCTTTTTGTTTGCGCTCTCTTTGGCTCACAAAACTTGGAAAACTGTTTTAAAATTCACCTTTCCTTTCTCTTATTAAATTACTGCACGTCATACATTTCTATTCTGAGTTATTAACTTGTCAGCCTGTATCAACTCCTTTTTATACTGAAACAATATAAGTTTCATCATTTTTCATAGTCTATATTATTCGATGAAACAATGCACCATGATATCTATTTGCCTCAGAGCCATGATCAATGAGATTTAATTTAACTGGCTCATTATTGTTAGAAGTATATCAATTAACCTCAATTAAAAATGCAGTTATTCCAAAAATTAATCTTAAAGATAAAATATTTATAAAATAATTGCAATAAATACAACATCCTTCTGATTTTTTGAAAATACATTTGTTTAAACTGATCCTTTGGGTGGGGACTTGGGAACAAATAATAGGATGCTATTCTGGAAAATTACAAACTGCAACTCAGCTATTGCAGCCGTCGAAATTTACATTTTTAAAAAGAAATCATTTCCTTCAGGCCTACCTTTCCCTAATTAAAGATGGTACCATCACACATTTTCCATCAGTTCTTCCCTAAACTCCACAAATGAAATGAATTAACTAGAATGCAGTGATTATGATGTAACACATGCCTTTAAACAATGTCTCATCTGAAGGCTGACACTTTAGCATTGCCATCCCTTAACAACGCACCAAAACCTTTTCAGGAAGATGAAAACTACTGACTGACTTAACCTTGTCCCTCACACATCCACACCAGTTATGCAAACTATTGGAAACTGATATCTGGTCATAATCAATAAGCCTTATCAAGTTGCATTTAAAGCAAGTTAAGGCAAAGAAACATTTTTATTCCCACCAAATAATTTTTGCCTGTAAGGCTTTGTCAGCGTTAACTAACTTGAGTGGGCGAATGTATCTATAAATATAATGGAGAGATGTTTGCCCAATTATATTATCAACAACTGATTTTTAGCCTTTTGTGACGTTTGCAACTCACCAGATGAGGGTTTGTGCCATTGGACAGAATATCCAACAAATCAGCAGAGGAAATGAAATAAAACCTGGGGAATGCCAGTCTTTTAGTGTCGAGATATTCTGCCAGTGCTTTTTCACAGACAGCCAGTCTGTACAGGGAACAAAAATGTTAACAGGGCATCAACATACAATAAGTCTAACTTGTCAATCGAGCTGTCTACAGTTAATGCACAATAAATCTTTCCAACGTTATTTGGAGAAAGCTTTCCCCTTTGCAGTGATTTTGAATGCTATTCTGGCACAGGCTGGTTTATTTGCCAATATTCAAAAAGGAACTACATTTTTTGGAGCTCTTCATTCTCTGGTAGTCATGTGTTGAATACACATAGGAATACACCGAGTCAGCCAGCTGGTCAGCCAGGAGCAGGACACTGGTGGCAGCTATCGGTGGTGGTGGGAAGTTGGATTTTCTTTTTTATATTTTGTTTTATCTTTTTCAAGTTACTCAAAATGGTGCCAATGCATGGCAAAAGTTTAAACTTTTCACTGTATTTTATATCACAGAATCCCTACAGTGTGGAAGCAGGCCATTTGGCCCATTGAGTCCACACCAACCCTCCAAAGAGCATCCCACCCAGATCCACCCACTAAACTATCCCTGTAACCCTGCATTTCCCATGGCCAACCCACCTGACCTACACATCCACAGACACTATGGGCAATTTAGCATGGCTAATCCACTTAACCTGCATGACTTTGGACCGTGGAAGGAAACCGGAGCACCTGAAGGAAACCCACACAGACGCAGGGAGAATGTGCATACTCCACACAGACAGTTACCCAAGGCTGGAATTGAACCAGTGTCCCTGGCGCTGTGAGGTAGCAGTGCGAACCACTGAGCCACCATCCCGCACATATTAAATACACGTGAAAATAAATGATTCAAATGTATATACAGAGGTTACAGAAAGCCATTGGGGTCTTGGACTCAGCCATATTGCATGAGAAAGTTAGTTTTCCAATATCCACAGCCTTGAAAACTATATCAATTAACATCTGCTGGTCTATTTTGAAAAAAACCACAAATATGGTAAAGACCGGAATTTTGCCATCAAACATAGTTGGATATCAATGAAATCAAGACGATTATCCTTAGATCCAAGGCACATTATTTCAAGCTGTATCTGGGCATTGCCTGCAAATTCCAAACTACTCTCTGATTGCTGCATTGTGTAAGCAGTTAATATGAAGGGAGCTCCTATAATCTCAGTGAGCACACTACCAAACTGCTTGGAAAGGAATATCCCTGATCCTGAATCGAGAATGGAACCACAAGAGGTCTTCAACCCCAGGAAGTTATAAAGGTTGGCATGAACCTGTAGGCCCAACAAGGGCTCTCTGTTAGATCAACACCACCTAACTTCACATTATAACTTCAATTCTTTTTAATCAAATTCGATTAAAAAGTTATGGTCTACCTGATCTGGATGTCTTCAAGCTTTTCACACAATCCTGGTTTGTTAGTAGCTTCTACTACGTTTGGAGTTTGCTGAGCATCCCAAGCCAGCTCTTTAAAATCTACATCAATTCCATGAAAGCGCTTGGAATCCTAAATGGCATGTAGGGTAAGAGAATATTTTCAAATGTATTTGTACTTATTGTACAAATTGTACTTATCATCGTATATTACCCACCAAATAATTTCAAAAAAGCACGAGCAGAAAAGGAACAAGAATAAGCTTTTCAACTCTGAGCTTGATCTACAATCCATTTAAATCAAGGCTGATGTACACCAGAACACACTTTCATTGCTTTTGATCCACATATTTAATCTTTAATATTTGAACTGACTCTTTGGGTAAAAGTTCTTTACTTATGTTACTCTTTGTAGAAAAAGGTGTTTCTTAGTTTCACTTCTAGGCAGTTTAGCTGTAAGCTAAAATATCTCCCTTTGTTTTGAATTCCTCCACCAGAACTTTATTTTCTGCATCTATATTTTCTAATTCCTTTATCATTTTGAACAACACAATTGAATCACTGTTCATAACATCCTAAACTCAAGGAAATTCAAGTCAATTTTATGCATCTTATCCTTATAGTTGAACACATCAGTCCTTTAAGCCCTGACGTTGTTCTAGTGAATCTACTTTTTACCTCACCGACGGCCAATGTAATCGTACCGATTCACAACTGAATCCAGTGCAACAGATGGCACCTGACTACAGCTCCACATAAGTAAAGCATCACCTCTTGTCTTTAATATTTAGCCTTCTTGAACTGAAGACCACCATCCAATTGGTCTTTCCAAATACTTTTCATACCTGGATAAACTAGCTTTTAGTGATTTGTATTCCTGAATATTCGAACCACTTTGTTTCTCTAACTTTCTGTCTCAGCTCAGAAATTTTGAGACCTGCACTTCTAGTATCATAACTTAAAATGCAAAAAAAAGAGGTTTTAACAGTTTCAGCGCTCTTGAAAATAACTATTTCCTTTGTTTGTCAGAAATGGTTTTGTACCTCAGGCAATTGTGATCGAATGTCTTCAGATCCAATGAAGATGCTTTCAAGGTGTGACCACGTGCGCTGCACCTCAAACCAAATAGAAATGACTGAGTCAGCTACAGACAACTTCTTCTGCCAGCTAGACACCTCCTCCAGAAAGAAGGCTATGTACTTGGAAGTCATCAGGTTCTGCAGCTGGACTTGGTTGTCCTCCAGGGTCTCAATAAGCTCTTCATCAGATTTGAGCAATGGGACAGAAGTGCATGAGTGGCATTCATATTGAAATTCCATGGTGCTCCAGGTCGTGTGCAGTTCCTTCAATACTTTCTCCATGCCCATTTCCTTCACCGCCTTGTCTACAATTCCACGGACCTCATCTTCAAAGTTGTGCAGGTTCAGTTTCAGGAGATCAGCTAGAGTTGTGCTATCGTCCATAGTGAATGTCACATGTGTAGCCTGCATTAGTTGATACCAATGTCTGTCCCGAATAGCTGGGTTCTGAAGTTCAGCTACAGCACGTAATGAAGTCAAAATGTTCTTCACCGTGTTGTCCAGCCCAGTGAAAGCATCCCAAGCCCTCACCTCCTTATCCAAGGCTCGAATATCTTTAGCAAACCTTTTGCACTCCATTTCCATGTTTTCAACATTGATTTCCCTCCACTTTGTAGTCTTCCAGTCATTCATACTTGAATCCACGAGAACAATCATATCCCAGAGTTCTTTCAGCAGATATACTTCCTTTCTGCACTGTTTTAGTTGTCTGTAGTCTGGCACGTTAACCTCAAACAAACTGGCAGATTCAATAATGCTGTGCATGGTTGCTTCCATCTGGCTGATCTGGCAATGGACAACATCCAACATCTGGTAAGGCTGCATACTGTTGAACCTGATAAAGTAGGACAGTGAATTGATGTAAAGCAGCATACAATGTGGTTTTAAAAAGCACTGTAACTTTTTTTTACCCTGATATATTGACTAAAATTACAAGCTCAAGAAAGGTCATTGGAACATCAAAGGTAATCCAGCAAAGCTTTCACCAGAACAATTGATAAACAAGAAACCATGCTGAAAAACAGACTTGAGATACTGGCATTATTTTCACTGCAGCAGTGACAACTTTGAGAGGATTAAAATGGAGTTATATTGCATCTACAGAACAGAAATAAGCTCATTGCCTCTGTTGCCATTACACCCCACAGAGACCTCCCACCGCTCTATCCAGCGAGTTGGTCACACCATCAGTAAGAGCTAAACAGCCAGAGAAGAGTTGGGCATCCACCAGGAAGACAAGTAAGCATGGGTAGGCAGTTCAGGAGTCTCCTGTGGCCATTCCCCTCTCAAATAGATATAGCATTGTGGATTCTGTACAGGATGATGGCCTTTCAGGGGAACTCAGCACAACTGGCTGGGGAGGTTCAAGGTGTAGGTGAGCAGTCGTAATGGGGACTCTATAGTCAGGAGTACTGAGGGGCATTTCTGTGGCTGCAAGCGACACTTCAAGATGATGCATTGCTTCCCTGGTGCCAGTGTCAAGGTTGACTCTGAACGAGCACAGGACATTTCGATGGGGGGGGGAAAAAGAGGATGAGCAGCTAGAGGTTGTGGTCCGCATTGGTAACAATGACTGACAGAAAGACAGATGAGGTCCTGCAAAGGGAGTTTAGTAAGTTAGGTAGGAAGTTGAAAAGCAGAACCCCTAGGGTTGTAATCTCAGGATTGCTTCCAGTGCCACACGCCAGCGAGGCTAGGAGTAGGAAAATAATACAGTTAAAAGCGCGACTAAAGACCTGGTGGAGGGAGGACAACTTCAGGTATGTGGATCATCGGGATGTCTTTTGCAGCAGACGGGACCTGTACTAGAAACACAGGTTGCATCTAACCTAGTCAGACACCAATATCCTGGCAGGGAATTTTGCTAGAGCCACTCAGGAGGGTTTAAACCTAGTGTGGCAAGGGAGTGGGATCCAGGGCAGTAGGCCAACAAGTAAAATGACCAAGGAGGAGTCACAGTCTAAACCCAGTAAGGCTAAGAGGAAGAACAGACAGGTCGAGGTTACTGAACACAATGAGACTGGAAGTCTGGGGTGTGTTTGTCTTAATGCAAGAAGCATGACAGGTAAGGCAGATGAACTTAGAACATAGATTAATACGTATAACTATGATATTATAGATATTACAGAGACTTGGTTGAGAGATGGACAAGACTGGCAGCATAACATTATGTGATTTAGATGTTTTAAGTGAGATAGGGAGGGATGTAAAAGTGTTTGGGGAGTTGCATTATTGCTAAGGGAGAATATCTCTGCTTGGGGACCCTGCAGCCTTCTGGACTCAATATCACGTTCAATAACTTTAGGGTTTGAGCTCTCCCATGTCCTTACCCCAAGCCCCAGACACCAGGCCTTGTTATCTCTCAGTCTGTTATACACACAACCCATTGTTAGCCACTAACAGTCTCCATTAATAGCTATTCACCCTCCTAGCCAGATCACCATCCATTCCTTTGTCTGTCTAACTGTTCTTCTCTCTCTTCGGGCTCTATCCCTGCCTATCGTTTACTCCCCCAGCCTATCTGCTGCATATAAACTGACATTTTCCAAGCTACCATCAGTTTGAGGAAGGGTCACTCGAACAGATTTCTCTCCACAGACGCTGCCAGACCTGCTGAGCTTTTCCAGCAATTTCTGTTTTTGTTTCTGATTTACAGCATCTGCAGTTCTTTTGGTTGTTATGGAATATATCACAGTTGTACTCAGGGAGAAGACTTTGGAGGGCTCATCCAGTGAGGCCTTATGGGTAGAGCTCAGGAATAGGAAGGATGACGTCATTTTGATGAGATTCTACTCCAAGGCTCCCAATAACCAGCAGGTGATAGATGAACAGATAATGAGGACAGGTTATGGAAAAATGTAGGATTGTTGTAGTAAGTGCTTTTAAGTTCACCTATATTGACTGGGCCAAGCTTAGTGCCAGGGATTTGGACCAGGGAGAGGGGCTGAGGGTGGGACAGAGTTTGTTAGGCGTGTCCAGGAGGGTTTTTTTTGAAACAATGTAAAAATAGTCCAAATAGAGAAGGGGCTGTACTAGACCCAAAGTTAGGGAACAAGTAGGGGAGCATTTCAAGAACAGTGACCATAGAATTCCAGAAGTTTACTTATGGATGAGGATAAGAGCAGTCATCGGGTGAAAGCACTAAACTGGGAGAAGGCTAACTACCACAATATTAGGCAGGAACTGGGGCATGTAGGCCGGGAATGGCTGTTTCAGGGTTAACCCACATCTAGCATATGGATTTTTTTTTTTGAAAAGGCCAGTTGATGAGATTTCAGGACCAGCATGTTCCTGTGAAAATGAAGGATAAGGATGACAAGATTTGGTAAACTTAGATGAGAAGAAAAATTGAAAGCTTAGTCAATAAGAAAAAGAAAGCATCTGAAAGGTTAGGAAACTCAAGACAGACAGGGCCCTTGAAAAACACAAAGATGGTGGGAAAGAACTCAAACGAGGGATTGGGGGGATAAAAGGGGCCATGAAATGTCTTTGGCAGACAGGATTGAGGAAAATCCCAAAGCACTTCATATGCAAATAAGGAGCGAGAGGGTAGCTAGGAAAAGGACAGGTCCACTCAAGGATAAACAGGGAATTTATGCGTGGAGCCAGAGAAAGTGAGGGAGGTCCTTAGTGAATACTTTGCATCAGTATTCACAAAGGAGAAGAACATGGTGGATGGTTAGTTTCAGAAGGGATATGTTGATATTCTGGGGCATGGCAACATAAAATAGGTGATGGTGTTGGGTGTTTTAAAAAGCATCAAGTCAGATAAATCCCAGGATCTGATGGCATCTCTCCCAGAATGCTGAGGGAGGCAGGTGTGAAAATTGCTAGGGCCATGTACAAAATCTTTGTATCCTCTTTAGTCACAGGATAGGCTTCAGAGGACTAGAGAACAATCAAAGTTGCTCTTTTGTTTAAGAAGGGCAACAGCGATAACCCAGGAAATTACAGGCCAGTGAGCCTTATGTCCATGGTAGGGAATTTATTGGAGAAGATTCTTAAGAATAAGATTTACTCACATTTGAAAAAATATGGATTTATTAGCGACAGGCAGCATGGCTTTGTGCAGGAAGGTCACATCTCACTAACTTGCTTGAGTTTTTGAGCAAATGACAAAGATGATTGATGAGGGCAGGGCAGCAGATATTGTCTACATGGAGTTTAGCAATGCCTTTGATAAAGGTCCCTCATGGCATGCTAATACTAAAGGTGAAGCCACACGGGATCCGTGGTGAGTTGGTATGATGGATACAGAACTGGCTTAGTCATAGCAGACGAAGAGAAGCGGTGGAAGGGTGTTTTTCTGAATGTCAATCTGCAACCAATGGCATCCCACAGAGGTCAGTTCTTGGACCCCTGTTGTTTGTAAAGTATGTCGAAATGATTCAGAAGAGAAGAATGTAGATGGCCTGATGAGTAAGTTTACAGATGGCACAAAGATTTGGACAGCTGTGGATAGTGAAGAGGATTGCAAGAGGATCTAGATAGGCTGGAGACTTGGGCAGAGAAATAGCAGATGGGCCTTAAACCGGACAAATGTAAGTGATGTATTTTGGAAGATTCAATGCAAGAGGGAAATGGCAGAACTCTTTTAGCATCAACAAACAGAGGAAGCTAGACATATAGGTCCACAGCTCCCTGTAAGTGGCAATACAATTGCTTAAGGTGGTCAAGGTGGCATATAACATGCTGCCTTCATCGTTTGGGGCATAGAGTATAAAAATTGGTAAATCATGTTGCAGCTGTGTTGAACTTTAGTTCGGCTGCATTTGGAATATTGTGTACAGTTCTGGTTACCACACTACCAGAAGGACGTGGAGGCTTTGGGGCGGGTACAGAAACGGTTTGCCAGGATGTTGCCTGGTTTGGAGGGTATTAGCTATGAGCAGAGATTGGACAAACTGGTTTTGTTTTCACTTGAACGTCCACGGATGAGGGGCATCCTGACAGAAATTTAAGAAATTTGTGAGAGGCATGGATAGAATGGATAGTTGAGTCTTTTTCCCAGGGTAGAAATGTCAATCACTAGGGAACATAGGTTTCAGGTAAAAGGTGGTAAGTTTAAAAGGAAATGTGAGATGCAGGTTTATTTCACACAGAGGACAGTAAGTGCCTGGAACGCACTGCCAGAGGTGGTGGTGGAGTCAGTTACAATATCAATGTTTAAGAGGCATCTTTACAGATACATGAATAGGCAGGGAATAGAGAGATACAGACCGCATAGAGGCAAAAGGTTTCTAATTTCAAAAGGCATCATTTATGGAAGCAGGCTTAGTGGGCCAAAGGGCCTGAACCCACATTGTTCTTTGTTTAACCTTATCAACATGATTTTCTATTCTTTTCTCCCTTATGCTTACTTAACTTCACTCCAAATGCATCTACGCTATTTGCTCTGGTCTCTCGTTGTGGTAGTATCTGTAACAGTCCCAGCATTCTTTGTGAACTTTCTTTGAGTTCTTCCTGAATTCCCTCAGGATGTATTCATGGCCTTCAGTTCTTGTTTCCTCCCCAAGCGGAAATACTTTGTCAATGCCTGTCACATCACACACTTTCATTGTTAAAACAATCTCCCTCTCATAATATTTTTCTCTTCCAGAGAAAATAGTTTCAGCCTGTTCAATATTTCCTGATGCTTTTCATCCCTCAGTTCAGGTATCATCCTTGTAAATCTTATTTGCTCCTTGTTCAATCACTATATCTTTTCTATGCAGCAGAGACCAGAACTATCTCACACAGCATTCCCAACAGTCTCATTAAGGTGCGACGGAACTTTGACTCAGGTTGATAATTTTCAATTATAAGCCTTTACATACGGATTCAAATGCATAGTTT